AATTTCAAAAATTGTTACATAATACTAAAACCTCTCTCTATGGATAAGTCAAGATTTAGAAGGCCAATCGATTTTTTTTAATTGCTTTTGAATTAAAATTTATTATCATTTATTTATTGATTTAAATTATTCTGTAGCTAAGTATACATATTGATAATCGATGCAAAACATTTTACGAATTAATTAATATATTTCAAAATATATTTTAAAACGAAACTTGAAACCACCAGTTTTAGTGAAAAATCGATTAAGCTGGCAACATTAGACAACACTGTATTATATTAACACAACACAACATTATATTACGTCATCAGCGTGCGTCTTTCAATATTTGGATATTTACCGCACTTTATAAATGCGGTGCGTACGGTGCTGACAAATGTGCATTCAGCTGAAGACGTCTGTCTATACGGGGCAATCGTGTGGTGCGATGCGAAGTAAAACGCGGGCGGAGCGCTTCCGATCGGCTGTTAGTTGCTAGGGTTGTCCTGACACGCAAATAAAATGGTTCACACTACATGTACGGTAAACAACTGGGAGTCTTCCTCACTAAAAGATGAGGAATTAAAGTGTCATCAGTTTCCATATACACATGAATTCGTTTAAACGTGACGGAAAATAAAATCAGTTTTTTTTTAATTACTTCCCGTTCTGACAACCCTACCAATCAATTTTTTATGTAGGCTTTTCCATCAACATCAAACGTGATGAGTAACTGTACGTTCTATTATACCCCTATTACACTACCCTGAATCAGGCTCCCTATGCCCTGATGGTGGTGTAATAAGAGAAAGGGAGTAAGGGTCCCAAATTAGGGCGTCAAAGTGGACCCGGTCTGCAGTGCCCTTACACCGTGCAGTGTAATAACACTAAGGGAGTTAGGGCACTTATTCGATGCGCGACTAGGGAGGCAAACGATACATCAATTCTTTCAAATATCGATATATCGTTCATAAACAAGGTGCTTCATGAGCTGTGTGTTATGATCGATGTTTTGCCGTAAAAGGACACGAAATAACCAACTATTCGAAGGTATAAAATTCCGTAGTTTAAAGTTGCGAACGATGATTATCACGAATTTTATGTTGCCAAAAAATAAATATTCGAAACAAAATATGTCAAAGTTAGATAACGTCTAAATCTTTAAAGTTAGAAGATTTACGAGTATTTAGCAGAAATAACTCAATCCCGAAAATTTTAATTACGAATCAACAAACAGGCGAATGGTCTTTCAGCCGAAAATAAATATACTTGAATTTCAGAAGTACAATTGTCTTCTATCGGTAATTCCATTTTCGATGTAAACTTGTAGTTATTTTTATTGTGATAATTAATTAAAATGAGTTTACAAATATCGAAAATGGATTGAAATTGTTTTATTAATTTTCTTATTAATAATTATATTGTTTGAGCTTTATTTTAATAAATATATAGGAATAAGAGCCGTGGTAGCTCAGATGGTTAACGCTCGCTGTAAATATAACAGAACGCGAGTAACCCGGGCTCGATCCCCGCCAGCACCAATGAAATTGTTAATTGCAATTTTAAGTGCTGATTTACCACGTGTTCAGCGGTGAAGGAAAACATCGTGAGGAAACCTGCATGTCTGAGGAATAAGAAAAAAAAATATTTTCGAATACATGTGAAGTTCGCCAACACGCATTGGGGCAGCGCGGCGGACACTTCCTTTTCCTAAAACCCTCTCAGAAATGAGGGGAGGCCTGTGCTCAGCAGTGGGACGTATATAGGCTGTAACTTTACTTTTACTTTACTTATCTTAATGAATAGCTTAAGTACAGTCTTATAAGTTAATAGTTATTTTGTAATGGAAATTATTTTATCGGCTTACGGTACTTTGTATTTCGTTACAATCATTTTTCTGAAATATTGATTTTTATGGATGAACCTGTTTGTATTTCGGTATAGTTTCGTAAATGTATTCAGAAAATACGATAATACTGAAGGTAACATATGGAACTACCATAAAAAATTAACGCACCACATCATAAGAAATAAAATTAAATCAGAAGACGAGTTTCGCACATTACATGTGGGATATCTTGAAAGGGTTATTTCCCGGGCTTCATAGCCTAGATAAGGTCTATTTGCCTATCGTGGCAACTTCGGTATCCCGTGAGCTGTTATTTTCAGAGGCTGGATCTACAATCACCCAGGAGAGAAACCACTTACTAGGCACCAGGTTGTCAAAATTGTTATTTTGAAATTCAATTCAAAAGAAATAAACGTAAAAAATATTTAATTAATTCTTGTTTTCTGATAATTATTCGATAAAATTAAATGTGTAAAAATACATAGTGTAAAACTTCCTAAAATAACATAAATATAATGTTTGATTATTATACTTCTTTGCTTAATTTCTGTTCAAAATGATTATTTATTCCTTATTTATGTATGCAAATATTTAAATGATGATAAAAAATATCGAAAAAATCGATATATTGTACATAAGCTTTGATGTTCTTAATGAGCGATGTTGCATCCTACAGATGTAAGGAAGCACTTGGAAAAATTACGACTCAAGTTAACTCAAGTTCAAATTTACACAATTCGAACTAAACTCGAGTTACGCAACTAGAGTTAACAGGACAAAACACAGTAAATGATTTGTTACAATTACTTCGAAAATATTGATTCAATAAACATATATACTTTTTTCATTTGTCTATCCCTATGACTGAGAAGGGCGTAAAATCAGGGTAGTTTAATAACTGACGTCCCTAACTAGGGGCCACTCCCACCCTTCATTCAGGGCCCTGATTCAGGGTGGTGTAATAGGGGCATTAACGGCTGTAGCGAGGTAGTGAATAGTAGTGACGCCCTAGCTAACTAGAAAGAGCCAACTGTCAAAGCTGAAGACCGAATGTGGTAGCATCGCTTCCGTGACACCTGTGATTCTGAGTATAATTGAGAGGTTCTATGGGCAGCTGTAAATGCGTCATCGTTGGAGCCACACGCAAGTGTGATTACTCACACTTGAGACGTTGCAAGAGCAATTCTTAACCGACACTATTCTGGTGATATTCCTATTCTGTTGTCGCTCGGCCCGACGTCCAAGCAAGAATAGGATGGCTCTCCAGTATCTTAGAAACGGCAAGTCTCCAGGCGAAGATGGAATTACAGCGAAACTTCTGATAGCGGGTGGAAAACCGATGGTTAAAGTCCTGGGTTCGAATCCGCCATTCGACCACTGTCGTAAACCACTCCTATTACAAGCATTTTAAGCTTACCAGGATTGGTTAAACGGAATATAAGCAATGATAATAGCATTACTGGTATTTAAAAAAATAGGCATGTAAATAGTGACTGAAAATCAAAACGCGAGGTAATTACCCAACTTCAATACAGCTCGTATTGAAGAACCTTCCTTATAATATAAAAAAATCCTTATTATATAAAAATATGTACTGTCGCACTCAGACCTTTTTTATAGAAGTATGGAGAAACGAGCATGCGACTCACCTCATGGTAAGTGTCCACAGCCGCCCACTAATAACTGCAAAACCAGGCGAATTGCAGGTGCATTGCCGGCCTTTTAAATAGAAATAAGCTGGTTTCTTCAAGTCGTAAGGAAAAATTGCAGGTGGTAAACTAAATCACTATTTAACTTATATTTATGTAATAGATTTGAAAGAGACAATTGTTTTATTAAGTGATCTGAGTGAGGCAGATATTGTATGTATTAATACTGACTTTCATAACGTATGTTTGTAATTTAAAAGATATCGAGTGTCATTCCACCTACCTTATGCATAACAAATTTTCGCCAGTCTTTATAATAATATATAGTATTAACACAGTTCTTACACAGACCGATTTTGGTAAGTAAAATGAAAAAACAGGAAATGCAGTTGACGGTAAGAAAAAATATTATTGAGAAACCAATCCAAAGCTTCCAATAATTATGTGTGGTAAGTAAAGAAAAATAGTCCACTACCCTATAAATCCTGAAACATTTACAAAGTTCACATAACAGTTGCATCGACAAACCCTCAATAATAACTTATTTATTATTTAACTAATATTGAGAATTACTTACGTTACGAACTCTATAAAAGATAATATATTTGGGTAGAATTTAACTTCAGTGCAAGCGTCAAAGATCATAAGGCGAAAGAATGGAATCAAACATAGTATATCAACAAATAGCAAAAAGGCGGATTTTGGTAAGAATTCGCGCCTCATCGCTTCATCTGTCACTCGTCTGAAAAAAAAACTTTATTCAAAATATAAAATAACAAACAAGCACACAGTCTCCGAAACGAAAACTTGAGATTCAATTTTAGTAATAGCTATGTACTCTAACCACTATTACATGCATGCAAGAATTTTTCAATGTAAATGCGCCAACTTCATTTATTTATTGTTTCGTAAGAATACACGACACTGACGTCCTATGGGTTTAGTAAGTGGTGACCCCCTATTTTTATGGGAAACCTCAGAAAAATGTTTTAATACGTAATTTTTTGCATATGGTATGAGTAAGGCAAATTTCAAGCTTGTACGTGAAACAGTCTTTAAAGAAAACGTTCGAGACAGGTAAACACTGAGTTGATTCCAAAGTGTTCCTTTCTTTCTAATTTTTGGCACGAAAAACTATAAAATGAAACTATTACGCATAGTTAGGATATTTTACTGAGTTCATGAAGCTCTCACCTATGTATTATATGAAGACAAGTATCAATCCCGTAAATAAGATCACAGCCATATATATAAAAAATCTTGATTAGCCAGAAATAAATATTACGGTCAAGCACGTCCCAACAGTATACAATTGGATAAATTGACTGTAAAGGTCCCTGTAAATTTAATACACTTTTATAACAAATAAATGGCTATATTATACTATATTTAACTGTATCTAGTATTTAAAATTACTATATATAAAAATACACTAATTTTTCGAAACTTGTATACAAAAATGCATTCAGATTTCTTTACATTATCGTTAAAAATTATATCACGTTGATTTATGTACTTACCAATATGCTTTTTATTATAACTGACAATAGAACCAACAGTTTTACCACTGGATGAAAAGGAAGAAACAGTAAGTTGCTCCAGCGTATATTATTCTCCTCCAAAGGTGAATCATCGTCTTCATCATTTTCATAATTATTCATTAGCTCTGAGTTGTTCATTTTCTTTTTAATTCATTTAATGTATAAATGAGTAATGAGGTATGTTTATTGGTTTTATTTTACAGCATATTTTATATTTATGTTACAGTTTACTGCATATTCATATTATATACTGCGTATTAAATTGGATGATTATAATATATTCTTTGCTGCGTATTTTACTACACAAAAATTGACACAAATTGATGTCGCTTTGACATTAACATCAGAAATACAAGCGAACATGCGGACAGCATTATGTTTGTGTATGCTTGTTGTACATTTATCATTTATCATTTTACATAAGTGCCCTGTAAACCTGTAAACGATCAAATTGTTTGTCAAATTTTACGTGTTTGTCAAATTATATGATAGTGTACAGCACTGCATTAGGCATTTGTGAAACATTCTACGTGTTTGTCGCGTTTGATGAAAATCTGGATTGATGTCGAGTTTGAAAAACAGGTTTGAATGTGAACGGTGGTGTTTGTTAAGGCCGAATATGACGCGAATGACCTTGCTCGTTTCGCAGCAAACCACGCGCCGCCCGTACGCTTTGTTTATATAGACACGTATAATATAATCAAAGCCGTACGGGCTTTGATTATATTATATTTGGCTGAGCTAGCTCAGTATGCAGAGTAATGAACAACACAGAGAGCATTGCTTACTTCTTAAATAAATCTTTCTTATTTATAATATTAGTTCCTATAGATTATAAATTCTGTACTTTATTCGTTATAAAATATTGTTCGAAAAGTTATTGAATTGATAACGGTTTTTTTTTGAAACTGAAAATGTTCTTGTGAGTCTTATAGATGCCGTAATACAAATTGCATAAATAATAAAGAAAAAAAAACTAAAATGTCGGTGATTGCCCCATAGTGGTGATAGGTACTGTGTATGTAAATTCCCACAAGACTACTCCGACTGGTCAATCACTTCACATCCGAAGTATTTCGGTTTTTCTTAATTATGTACTTATCCCATGCTTTCGAACAATACATTGACTATGACATTATTTGCGGTCTCTGTGCTTGTACTACTCTGTACATTCTTTTCCGACTGGGTTATTTACATTTTAAGTGTTTCTCACTTGAAACTAGAAAAGTATAAATGATCAGTTTGGCTAATGTAAATGAGTAAAAATGCAACCTATTAGGCAGCCTCAGACAAAAAATTACCATACAAAAATATAAGTATTAACCTCAAAATACAACATTCGAGCAGCGTTCATGCGATAAACTCTCTTTGTTTTTCCACTTAGGTAACATTTATTTCTTTTCCAATCCATATTTACATTTATAGTCACTTAAACGCGTATAAAACACTAAATTAACGATTTTCGCTACAGACACATCGACTTTTGTTACCTTACGTCACACGTCGAAGCGCCTGGTAATTTATTACGGCAAACTTTTATCTGGCAATATACGATATTATTATTAAGTGTTTTTAATTAAAACGGATTATGTTAATAAATAATATTTTGTATCGAAAATAAAGATAGCAGGCACCTTCGGAATCACAATACAAACATTTTTACGTAAAAGAATTTTTCCTAAATTAAAATTCACAGAGTTTGGGAAGAGCAATCATTTTTAAATATCATTTATTAACATTTTTTTATTTGTTCGTATATTCATTTATTTTAAAATTTTAAAACTGCGGGCACCTTGTGAAGGAACCGAACAAACCTACAAAAAATGTTTAACGCTTAGAATTACTTCAGGTCAAAGTTGTAGTGAAGAGAAATACATTAAATTTCGCTAGTTCTCTTCGTATTCGGCCTTAAACAAAATTTCACTCGTTGTATTGGCATCATGGAGGACGCTACGCCCAGTGACGATATGCTAAGTGGCAATATTATGGACAAATAACTTACGTTGCATTTCATATCCGTTTATCGTGATATGCCGATGTTACGGAAAATAAAATCAAAGGATTATATGGACAAAGACAAGAGTTGCACAGCAATAGAAAAGTGACAAATTTACTGAAGATGTGTCGCCGGAACATTACTGAAGAAGACGTGAAGAAAAAAATTAATATTTTACGTACGAGTTTCAAGCGCGAACACAACAAAGTGAAAAAGGCTATGCTTTCTGGTTCTGGTACAGATGATCTATATCATCATCATTATGGTACTACAAAGATTTAGATTTATACAAGCACAATTGGAGCACAATAATAGAACAAAAGTTAAATAGTAGTAGTGTTTATTGTATTGTATGTTTTACACTTAAAACATATAAAATTACTCCAAACATTTATTTTGCCATGGAACAGCACCCGTTGTATTAAAATATTCACAAAATTATCTCTTACTTGTTTTGCTAGAGAAGCACTATTTCCAGCTCGAGTCTGTTCAATACCTAACAACATTGGCTCATTTCTGCAAGTACCTCAAAAACAGCCCCCGTAACACAATCTTCCACATCTATTTCTCCATGTCGAATGTAATTTTTTTGTTTCATAAGTAAAATGTGTAGATGGCAACACGCTATTACTACAATTTTTGCTTTTCTTGGAGATAATTTAATAGGTTTTTGGAAAATCTTAAAACGACTTGCAAGAATGCCAAATACATTTTCAATTATTCGTCAAGCACGAGATAAACTATAATTAGTGATTTCTTCTGTTATCATTTAACGCTTGTTTATTGTAAGGTTTCATAAAATTTTGAAGTAGTTGGAAAGCTTCATCACCTACAAACACAAAAGGTATTTTTTATTAGTGTTTGCAATTCTTCTGGCTCTGGAATTTGCAACTGATTATTCTCAAAACAATGCCAAAATTGTGTTTTTAATTACCCCTCCATCAGACTCTATGCTATTTGTACCGATATCAACCATAATGAATTCATAATTTGCGTTGGCTATATCCTTAAGCACTATGCTCTATGTTCTTTTATACCAGAATGCTCGGGTTTTGGCAAAGTGATACGTTTTCCATCTACAGCTCCTATGCAATTATCAAAATTCCATGCATTTCCAAATCGTAGCGCCAATATCCTCCCAATTTTCTTTTGTTCTGGGTACGTGAAATAGAAAAATGTTTATTATAATAATGTTTTTTTTCCAGGAATCATCATCATCGCAATCTTTCACCTCAACACCTATGCAACCTTCAGCAACCACAAATCCAGTGATAGCAAAAAAGAAGAAAAGAGAGGACTTTCAACATGACATTAGTAGAATCATTTCAAAAAACTTGAAAATTAATATCAAGCAATGGCAACAAAACTGAGCCTTTAAACTGGAGAGGATGTCTGCAGAACAAAGACGACAGTTCATCAACGAAAGACTATTTGAAGGTGAAGAAGGAAATCTTCGTAGACATTCAGCAATAATTAATTCGAGCAATCAATATTCCATTCCCTCATCTCCATCTTCTGTTTTGTACATTCAATCTCCTATCTCTCACACTCAATCTCCTGTTCCAAAATCTCCATCTCCCGTTCCGTACATTCAACCTCCTACCTCCCACACTCCATTTACTGTTCCGCAATCTCCATCTCCCGTTCTGTACATTCAATCTCCTACCTCTCACACTCAAAATGCCATTCCGCAAACTCCATCTCCCGTTTCGTACATTCAATCTCCTATCTCTCACACTCAAAATCAAGCTCAAGCTCAAGCTTTGTCAAATACGTTATATTTTTGTTGTTTGGTTGTTAATGCATATTCCAGACTCGCAAACAAACGAAACTGAAGCTGGGACAGCAGCAAAATACTTGAATTTTAATTAGTATGATTTAAATAAAACCTTACCCGAACATTGTTGCTTAGTGGTTCATTTATTGCTTCACAAGTTCCAAAAATAATGTTGCTCAATGTTCAAGGTGCAACGCAGGTTTGAAATTTTAAGTCTTCGAAATCGGCTCTGCTAGCCAGGTACCTCAAAGTTATTGATAACCTTTGCGAAGCTGGTATAGATTTTTGCATAACAGTGTACTTTTTCTCAATGCTAGGACGGAGTATAGTCAGCAATTCTTCAAAATTTTTATGGTTCATGCGCAGGAAGGTGGCGTAGTCTTCAGATTTTGTGCGCAATATTTATTTATCCTTAACCCCCCAATCGGTTCTTATTTTGGTTTGATCGTTTAAGCTATTGTTTGATGAAAACGGGAAGTATGACAAACAAATTTGTCAAGCAAATTTGACCGTTAACAGGGTACCTAAATTACATACAGACGTATGCATAGAGAGAACCAAAGAATACTATATAATACATATAGAATTATAGTGTTCTATGGATAGGATCTACAATTCTACATAAATCGATTAAATATAGTTGTCTCGCTTTTTCTATAATGTTTTCTTATATTTACGCAAACACTACACATTGATTAAAACTACTTTTACGGATTTTATCGCGTTTATTTTACTATTATTTTTAATAACTAAATACAATGAATGCAAAAATAAACATCTTGATAAATACCATAAATTAACAACTAAATCAAATGTCCAACATACGAAATCGTTGACCACAGACACGAATCATAAACAACGCGCTGTCTACAACTTATCAAAACAAACACTGGACGACGCCACAATAAAATTTTTTAGAAAAAGGTATGAATTTCGCAATAACACCGCAAAAAATACCGTATGAAGACATTATCTGTAGTATTGAGGACTGTCTGTATAAAAATAACATTGGTAATGAAGATTTAGAGGCCATACGTCAAGACACTAAACACTCCAACACACTTCACTAACATAACGTCTATGTTACGTCGAAGTTCAACGCCGAAATTAAATCTTCCCAAAAATGAATTTAACGCGTTGAAAAACTTACGCAACAGACCAGAGCTTACGATTCTCCGCGCAGATAAAGGCAATGCTACGGTTATAATGGATACGTCAGATTACAATTTTAAAATACAACAACTTTTGTCGGATGAAACTACATACCGCAAGGGCAAAACAGACCCTACGCTTAAAACAACTAGCGATCTAATTAAGAAATACTCCGAGAAATTGAATGTAGACGTTAATTCGATAATACCTTCA